TTCAAGTTGAGAATGAATACTAGAGGGTCACCGAGTCAACCGTGTGCGAAATGATAACTCGTGATGCAAATCAGCTCAGCTGGAGAATCAAACAAGATACGTGCGAGTTCAAACGTTTGAGACTCAATCTGAGGCCATTAATAAGAGCCATTCGAGTGTATGGCGGCGCAGGCCTGTAAGAATCGATTATTCACTGTTTAACCAGCCGGCGGGAAGGCGGGCGGATTGAGAGAGCATAGGCACGTATTCTGAGACGAAGAGTTGAAGAAGAGGGAAAATTGAAAATAAGCCAAGATTCCGAAAGGCCCGGCCTGCACGTCCAGCTGCACCAGCCCCCGCCAGATGAAAAACATTTTCCTGATTCGGACGGATTTACTTAGAATTACATACAGTAAGTAACGCGAGGCTTGAGAGGAAGGTGGTAGGAGAAAAAGCAAGCGCAGAAATCTCGGCACACTCCAGTTAATTAAAAGACAGAGAAGTCCTCAGCGAACGCGTAAAGAGACGAGCGCTATATTAATGTACCTAAAAGACAGAGAAGTCTAAGGTACTGTAAGTATGAATAGCTAATAAATGAATGTGTAGACGCACCCTCAGCGAACGCGTAAAGAGACGAGCGCTGAGTGTGCCAGTGACGTGCGTGACCAGCAGACAAATAAGGTAAGTGTCCGAAGGGGAAAGAGGATGGAAAGGGAACAAGATTGTAATAATACTATCGTATTCTAACATTAATAAGAGCAGCCGAAGATGACTGCAGTAAACCAACAGTGGCGACAGCGCGGGTGACGTCCCGTCACGTCCGAGTCACACACATCAGATGCTTGGTCAAAGTTGTCTTGTCTCTTCCTCCCTTGACTGCGTTGGACTTGGTTCCGCACTGAGTCAACTCGACTCACTTTGATTTAAGTCTGCCGCCTTCGTATTTGTAGAGGATTCTGCTTGGATTCTGCGCCGTAGCTCTCAACGCAGTGCAATTGAAAGGTGTCAGCAGCGGCGCAGCGCCTTCGCAGGGCTTTAAAGTGACACGCAAAACTGATTCCAATCAAACTTCCCTTAATTCTTTTCTCATTCACAGCGTAATTTTGCCTTTATTTTCTGGAGTAGTTCGTTCACTGAGTCTTTCTAGAATGGCATCTTCACTGGATTTTCCTCCGGAGCTCCAGGATCTTGTTGTCGACCACCTGCACGATCAGAAACACACTCTGTGCATTTGTGGTCTGGTCGCTAAATCCTGGCTGCGTTCGAGCCGCCATCACCTCTTTACATCGGTTTTTTTGCGCTATCACAACTGGGAAGACTTCGTCCAGCTTCTCGGTTCACCTCTAGCCACTTTCGCTCAATCCATCAATTCCCTTACTATTTCGGTCTCTGACTACGATACCCATTCACCAGGTTCATCGAGCAACCTCAACCGGGTGATCCTTCTACTGCGGACATTCCACGAACCAGAGCCTCGTTTCCCAGCAAATCCCCTTCGATTCCCCGCACTGAGAAGTCTTCGCCTTGAAGATTGCCATTGGCCGGGCGTCACTGAAACAACCGCGAATTCGCTTGTCGCATTGTTTCCCAATATCACAGAACTCGACCTCCACCTCGTCACATTTCTTTCTCCGTCCCATATGGTCGTCATGGTCTCGCCTTTTTCTCAGCTCCAAAAGGCATCCATAAATCCCCTTTTTCTACAGCGCGAGTCTGCGTTCGATTTATCACATTATCCTGAAGTTCCACATAATCTCGCACATCTGCGCTTGCGGCTAGGCCCCCTAACGAATAATCTTCACTTCGACCAAGTTGTTCTGTGGTTCCATGTGAACCCGCCCATTCGGGTTCTAGAACTTGGCATGATGGATGCGCAAAGTCTCCCATCCGTCGGGAACTTACTCCGCGCACTCGGTCCCCAGCTGCAAGATTTCGATTTAAAGCTGATGTACCACGTCACTGCGGGTATGTTCGATGATTCAGACTCTTATCCCGTTCGAAGAAATGACCGCACTTTCTCAGACGACATCAAAACCCACATCGATCTCTCGCAGAACACAAATCTACACCGCCTCACCATTCACTTGAGCCTCCGCCGATTTCAGCCCGCCGCCGCCGCGCTGCACGCGCCGTGGGCGCTCCTCGCTGCGCCGCACTCGACCATTAGCACGCTCACGCTCGTCCTCTCCATCGACTTCCTCGAACTGCTCGACAACCTCGATTGGACGCATTTGAATACTGCGCTCGAGACATATCCGCAGTTCATCGCACTACGGCGGCTACACTTCATCGTGCACTGCCCCTCCATGATGGACGCAATTGAGGGGCAGATCCGGGCGCGGGTGCAGGAGTATAGTGCACGCGGGATTGTTGAGGTGTCCTTGCTGCATACGTCGAGGGTGTTTACACACGGTGAGGGCCAATTGTGACTTGAACTTATGTAGCTAATGTGTTTCTTCAGGCACTTGAACCGGCTCAGATATGTACACATAACCAACTCGCCCTGCCTGTTGCCGAACAAGCGCATGCTCGCTTAACAAAATTCGACTAAGGTTCAACACCAACGTCCTGCGTAGTCTAACAGGTCGATTTCCTACAGAATCGGACCATATATGTTACGGTTTATTTGTATTCCTTATTCCAGGTATTTACGGCGACGGACTCATTAATAATTCAAGTGCAATCGTACAGAATCTAATCGGAGCCTTCAATATATCAAAGAATCAACAGAATTGTTGCGGTATATGAATTTCATCCAACCCCAAAAACACAGATGAAGGACACAGATGAAGAACCATGAACGAGCCTCAATTCAGAGCTTATCAAGGCATGTATGGCACAATGTCTTGTGCGGCATTTTCCTGGGTTTTGTGTAGCTAACCTACGCCGTCCAACTGGTTATATCGCTGGAGGGGTGGCGCCCATTCCAAACCACCGCATATATAGACTAGAACAACCATGAACAACTTCAACATCGAGTTGGCTCACTGGCATCGAATATTATCCTCGTCATGAATCAACCAAAACGTATGGCATAAATTTAATTCGACCATCCGAGTACCACCACGGCGAACGCAGGAGCAGTCGCGTTGCGCAATACCGCCGAAGGCAAGCAACCCGAGATTCGGGTCGAAGGGGTCGTTGGCTTGCTGCCAGTGGTTGAACGTCGGCCGATTAAGCGCAACAGAGAAGTCTGCGGGCAAAAAAAAAACAGCCTGAAACTGCAAGATGAGATGCACGCACAAGGCTTGGTTACAGCTTTCTGCGCGACGGCGTTTACAAAGAAGGGGCTGTACGGAATGTGGTTGAGTTGCGAGGCATTGTTTGGGTCCGTGGTGTTCCAGACGCGGAGCTCGGGAAACGCGAGGCCGAGGATACCCTCCGAGACGCCGTCCCCGAGGAACGCATTGCGGTCGGGCACACCAATTTCCTGCTGCGCAACAGATAACCCCCCAACCGCGACGGTCTCAAAGCCCACGGGTCCAGACAGAAATTCCCCTGACCCGTACCGGATAAGGAACGTAACGTCGGGGAAGAGCTGGAACGTCGTGGACTTCGTGGGCTCGAACAGCGCAGGGCCGAAATTGCAGGTCTCAGGCGGCACGACTGTCCCATTGAGATCTCGGCAAGTGAATCCCTCGTGAGCACACCAGGTGTCGGCGCTATGGAATATTATACATAATTTAGCATCGCGGGCGAATCAGCCCCGGGAGTTTGACAAACCTTCCGGTATCTAGAATTACTTGGAACGGTTTCCCTCCGACTGTGATGTTGACCAAATATTCGTCATCGAATGCGCCGCCGTCGAGGTGCACGCTGCCGTTGTGTGAGTTTCGATGCGTGTTGAGTGCCCTGCGCGCTTTTTTTTAGCGTCACGGCGCGGAGCCTTGCCTGTGAAAGGAACGGCGAATTCATCAATGGGAGGCAGCGAAGGCGATTGCACTGCGCGCCCGCTCTGCAAGTCCTGGGCTCGAAGCTCTGCGTAGGCTGCACCAGTGAAAAGAGAGAGCAGGGGAAAGAGGGTTAGTTTGGATTCCTCAATGTCCTCATTCGAGGAATGTTCGGCAACGGACTCATCAATTCAACCGGAATCGTACAGAATCTAATCGGAGCCATCAATATCTTATTATTAGTAAAGTTATTTAAAGAATCAAGTCAACTTGCCAGAATTGTTGCCGTATATGGATTTTATCCAACCCCGTTCAGCGACATAGCCTATTAAGCATCAGAGTGCGAGAGAGCTATTCAGAGATTTTCAAGGCAAGGAAATTTGCGTGGCAGAAGCTATTCCAATTGCATTGTGCGACATTTCCTGGGTTTTATGTAGCTGGCCTACGCCGTTCAATCGGCTATACCATTGGGGGGTCTCGCCCACCAACCACCGCATCCAGGAATAATTAAACATTTTCATTCAACGCTTTGAACACCCCCTCGAGCTCGTTCGACATCGTCTGATCCTTGTTATACATCCCTGTCTCATTTCCTAGTCCCATTGATATCGTGGAAATGCCGTGGCACTCATCTTTCCTCCATAAAGTCTTGATATATTTTCCACCTTGTTTCGGACTGCAAGATTGTAGATACTTACCGAGGCACAGGGAGAGCGACCAAAATCTTCGAGGGGTGAGGTAGTGTGGAGGATCATGTCAGTAACCCAATCTGTTGTTCGACTGACCGACTCAAGGCTGCTGTAGTACTATATCTGCTTATTATCGACCTGTCACTGACATTCAATATTCAATGCCCGCAAGTAAAAGAGGGGTGCCAGTTCGACGTCGCCGTGGTCAAGTTCGTTCAGCGCAATCGTCGGAGTGAATTTGGGGTGGAAGTAAAAGACGAGCAAGGCCATTCCGGCTGTTGCGCACCGAGCTCATCAATTTCAAGCAAAAATTCCGATATCGACGCCTTTGCATCACTAGTACTGACTCTGGACATATCGGGAATAAAAATTCTCGAAAGATATCGAGAAAATCGTTGAATGGAGAAGCACAGAAAAAAAAAAGGAGGCGATAACAAATCCATGGCCTGGCCTTGATTCGAACAAGGGACATCCCACTACTGATAAAGTTAACAAAGAGGGAGGTGTTACCACTACACCACCAGACCATTATGTTTCTCCATTCCAATATCTTGGCCTACCTGCCTACCTGCCTGCCTGCTAGCTCAGGCAAGGCGAGCCTGCGAGCCGGTCTGAGTGAAAGGCAAGGTAGTGGTGTGTGTAGCTAGGATTTGTGTCACGGTCGTGTGTAGATTAGATACATCTAATCTACACAGCCACTCTTCTTCTCTGCTCTCGCCACACACTCAGAAAGTTTTTCACGACTTTCTATCGCTCTCGAGCACTTCTTTTTGCTCCCACCCGCCCACTCCTCTTTCTCTTTTCTTCTTCCCACGCTTGGGTTGCTTCGGGTCTTTCCATTCTGACCCTTAGAGGCCCTTGTGTACGGGTTCGGCCCCGCCCGCGTTTCTTCTCGCTCCAATCCGCTCTTCCCCGCTGCCCTCTCGCAGTCCGGGAGGTCCCGATCGGTCGGGACGGCCGAACCCCCCCGCACACACCAAAAAGCACCAGTCGTTCCTCCCCTCTTTCTGTTTTTCTCTTCGTCATAGAGACTTTTTCCTCTCTCACAAATCCTCCCCACAAGCACACATATCTACCTTGCCACCGAAACCTGAACCCTGGGCATGGGTCAATTATATTTCAGAAGCCAACCTCGGCTGTACAGTATCATCTTTGGTCCAAAATCCGTGCATAAACGATGGATGGCGTTCAGTTTTTTGTCCAAATTAAAAAAGATATGCGAAAGATAAAAAAAGAGAGAGAAAAAGAAAAACCACGCTCCCAGGTTATGGCCTGACCTTGATTCGAACAAGGGAAATCCCACTACACATATATGACAAGGGGTAAATGAAGAGGGAGGTGTTACCACTACACCACCAGACCATGATCTCCAGCAATCCTCGAAAGTATACAGCCGCCGTTCACTGTATGGCTACTCGGACTTCGAAAGATTTTTGCAATTCGTCTAAATCATTGATTGATGAATTGAATTCAACTTCCCCAGCACTACTCAAACCTGGACTGGAACTCGAAGGGAAAATTCTATTCCAGGCCTGTGAAAACTCAACCCAGACCCAGTGTAAATTTAATAGATAACAGTAGATCACGCGTTTGAACGGAATCCGTGAGTTGATTTATGGACTCGTCGTTAGTTCAACGGGAAACCTGCTTGCCGACTCGTACCTCATTTATTCGCTGACCTAGATTCGCAACAATGGCCCGGTTCGCAGCGTCTTGTATATCCTCCGTTCGCAACGGGATGGGGCAAGCAAGATCCGACACCGTGACGCTGGGACTCGGAACTGCAGCGAAAATCGCGCAAATAGTTGTATTCGGCCTTTGCCAAGACTTGAAGATAGTCTCGAAGCGCACGGATCTCGCACCGCCCTTAATTGCGAATGTATCAACTATCGTATCGCAGAACGCGCGCAGTCCAGGACGGGCACGGGATTTTTGGGCCGTTTCAGATGCCGTGTACATGTACGAATTGGCGTTCGACTGCACCACGACTGCGCCTGATTCGGCTGGGTGTCTTCGCATGCACAAATTCGGGTCAACGTATCGCGGAATGCGCGCAGCATGCGCACCGTTATAAAAAGGCGTCGGAGTCCTCAGGCCCATTGTTGGTGGTGTTGTTGTACGAGAAGTTCGAAGCAAGGGTTGGAGTTGGGGTTGAGGAGCTAACGATGGAGTCACAAATTCGTGCCGCCTGTCCTGTAGCAGAATACGCGCAGCACCCAACGCGGCGATCGTTGTTGAAGTTTGAACTCAAGGCCAAGGGCTGGGCTGAGGAGCACAGTGGACTTGCTCGTGGAGCGGTCTGAAGAATCAGAAATTTCGCAGCAATTGCGCATTACTTCCATGCTGAAAACACGTCGTGTTTCATGATCAGCTGCGCAGAGAAGAGTGGAAATTAAACACCGAGGGTACGTACACCCATCGTACGTGGAATCGCCCGGACGACTCGGAGTTCACCTTATGAGGGAAAGGTTCGAATTCGCGAAGCTCGAATCTCGACCGGGTAAGTAGGCTAATAGCAGAATGCGCGCAGCCTCGGGCGGGGTTCGGTTATTTCTTTTGATGCCGGTGGTGCGATGTGTTTGATAAACCGGCCAGCTGAGTTCGGCGCGAGCTGGTGTTCTTGAGGAGAAGTTCAAGGTAGCGGCGTTTCCTGATTACTGAATGATCACGATAATATTAAACTATGTGCATCCCAATATTAATATTAATAGAGTGCAGTGGAGATTAAATACCCTGGCTTATCCCTTGCTTTAATGTTCGAACCACAGCGGCGTGGATCCCCGGAGGGAGTCTTCGTGAAGTCCAAGCTGGTGTCGCGAAGCCTTTCTTGCACCAGCCTAATCGCAGAATTCGCGCATCACAGGATTAGTATTCTTCCCTTTCTGCGGATTCCGGAAAGTCCGGGCCTGCTGTAAGTGAGAAGAGCGGGCCCGGGGCCTAAGAAGTTAGTGCGTGTATCTCGTATCTTGGGGCGTGAGGGGTAGACGCAGCAGGATGTCGAGGTATGGTGAGTTGAAGTCAGAGTGAGATTAAACATTAAACTGCGCGGATCCCAAATAGAGTGGAGATTAAATACCCTTGATTTAACGTTGCAACCTAGCTTCAGCTATGATAAACGTGGATCTCCGATTCCCCGGAACCTTCGGCGCGCCTTCGCGAAGCCGTTCGAGGCCCCAGCCTAATCGCAGAATACTACATACTACGGGTGCCAACAAGGAATCCGAGTCAGAGTCCGAGTCCGAGTTCAAACCGCGCGTCGGAGTTGAAGTTGGAGTTGAAGTTGGAGCTGGAGGTGGGGAGCAGACCTATACCAGTATGTATTGGAGAACAAGTTCAAGTTGGTCTCGACTCTCGAGGGAGAGGAAATCTTGGCCTACTCGTTCATCCTTGGAGGGAGTCTTCGTGAAGTCCTACGATACGTTAACGTTAAGCTGGTGTCTCGAAGCTTGCGCCAGCCAGCCAAATCGCAGAACACGCGCACTCGCCTGATTCTTGCTGCGGGAACTTGAAGTACTTTAAGAGTGGGAGTGAGAGTGAGAGTTGGAGCGGGTGCGAGCCTGAGCTCCAGTGGCTAGAAGTTGGCGTATTTGGGGCACAGGCTAGGCTAGGTTAGTTTGTGGTTCGAACGACGAAGAAGCAAGTGAGAGTAAAGCCTAATCGCAGAATGCGCGCACTCTTGCTGCGGGAAGTCCTGGTCCCTAGGCTGTAACACTCCAAGACTCGATCGAGGAGTAACTGAGAGCTGGAGCAGCTAAGAACGCAGAACTTGGCATGTGTATTTGAGGCGCAAGTCGGGGTAACATTAGACGTTAAACATCAAGCTTGAACCGGATCCGAGTCGGGACTCCTATGTACGTTAGAGCCTAAATCTCAATGTGAGATTCGGATTCGCGAGAGGTTGGTGTTGGTGGTGGTGGTGGTGGTGCCTGCATCAGAACAGTGCCGACATAGACGTCGACATCACGTCCAACTTTTTCAACGCTTCGAAGACGTGCCAGTGCCAGTGCGAGGGCGGGATGAGATGGGATGAGATCATCCGCGCGTCATCCGCGCCCGTTTACCACCCTCCCAGACCCTCCCGCTCAAAAAAAAAAACCCCCCAAATCAAGATTCGCATCACGCTCCGGGGGTGATGCGCATACGTCCAACATTCGGCGCGTCGCCTGTCTGTCCCCAAATCCAAATCCAAATCCAGGTGACGGCGGCGACGGTGGTGGCGACGGGAAGCCAAAACAAACGTGTACCTCAATAAATTATACGCCGTAGTCTAGTAAATCAAAGCTGCGCAGATCCCAATATTGATATTGATAGAGTGGAGTGGAGATTAAATATCCCTTACTTTAACGTTCGAAGTTCCAACCAAGCGTGGATCTCGGAGCGGTCATCTCCCCTCGTTGTACTCGCGAAGCTCGCACTCGCCCCAGCCTAATCGCAGAATATGCGCGTCACAGAATTAGTATTCTTCCCTTTCTGCGGATTCCGGAAAGCCCCGGTCCCGGTCTTGCTGTAAGTGAGAAGAGTAAGAGTGGGGCCTGAGAAGTATCTCGTACCGGGAGGCTTGAGGAGTAAACGCAGCAGGATACCGAGTTGCATCATGCATTTTGAGTTGAAGTCAGAGTAAGATTAAACTGCGCGCATCCCCAATAGAGTGGAGATTAAATACAAATACCCTTGCTTTAACGTTGCAACCTAGCTCCAGCTGTGGGAAGCGTGGATGTCCTACTCCCCGGACCCGACTTCGGCGCGCGTTCGCAGAGCTAAGCTACGGCCAGCCTAATCGCAGGATACTACTTGCTGCGGGTGCCAACAACGAATCCGAGTCCGAGTCAAGTCCAAGTCGAGTTCAAACCGTGTTGGAGTTGGAGTTGGATGGAGTTGGGAACAGACCTATCCTATTTATGTATTGGAGAACATGTTCAAGTTAGTCTCGAGGGAGAGGGAAAGGATATCTCGGCGTACACGTTCATCTTTGGAGGGAGTCCTCGTGAAGTCCTACGATACGTTAACGTTAAGCTGGTGTCTCGAAGCCCCAGCCAGCCAGCCTAATCGCAGAATACGCGCAACACAAGATTAGTATTCTTTCCTTGCGCGGGAAGTCCCGAAGTCGCGGTCTTGCTGTAACACTCCAACGCTCGAAGACCGATCGAGGAGTAACTGAGAGGAGAGAGGGTGGTTTGCGTGCGGTCCTACAGTAAGAAGTTGGCGCGCGTCTTTTGAGGAGCAGGTTAAGTTGGTTTGCGCTTCGGAGACGCAACTTGAAGTCGGGGTAACATTAGACGTTAAACATTAAGCTTGAACAGTCGAACTGCGCGGATCCGAGCGGGTGGAGATCACGCACGTTACATATATCCTGTCCAGTGTCCAACTTTTCGAAGACGCTTCGATTTGCGAAGACGCGCCAGGGCGGGATGGGATGGGATGGGATGAGCTCATCTGCGCGTTATATTCATACTCCATCTACCCTTCCTCCCGCTCTTGTTCCGCTCAAATTTTTTTAAAAAATATAAAATAAAAATTCGCATCACGCTGGGGTGATGCGAAGTTTTATTTGTCAAGAAAAGACTAGACACATTCGGCGCGTCATTGCCTGTCTGTCCCCAATCCAAGCCAATCAATGCGGGGTACATACTGGCGGCGGCGACGGCGGGAAGGCAAAACGCTAAATGCGTACCTCAATCCGCCGTAATCGAGGCTAACTCTTTTGAGGGCGAAACAGCAAGCATGAACGTTAGGAAATCCCGAACTCAAACCCGCGGCCGAACCCGGGCCCGCCGGAGCTGTGATGTGGAGCTCAGAGCACAGGGCTGAGAGCAATTGCAAAGAAAGGGCAGACGGACGTTGATCGCCGACACCGCCACGGTTAATTTGTTTTTGGGATTTGGGGGTCGTACGACTGCCCTTTTCTCTTTTGGTGTGCGTCCCGAGTCCTCTAGAATTTAGAAAGGGAGAGCCCGTCGTCGTCGAATAAACTCGAATAAACTCGTGAAAGACCTAACGACGGGGCGTAACCACGCGCAGCCACATCCGTCAGCGGTGACGCACTGCCCTTTTATTTATTTATTTTCTGGGGTATTTGTAATTCCCATTCGTTCGGCCACGACGGCAAGGCTGAGGCGTGACGCGACGGTAACGCGGTAACCATCATCTGTTTGTTCTGTCACATACTTACCCCGGTTGAAACGTTGAAAAGCTTAGTAAGTGCTAAGTGAAGATGCTTAGAGCGACGTGACGTAAACCCCAATAAACCGCAAAGAGTAAACACGGGCAACTAGGGGCAACCAAATCCCGAAAAAAATTGTCTCACACCCCTACATTGGGACGCCACTCGCACTGCTCTCTGACCCGCGAAACGAGAACGAGGA